CCTGCCTCTGCCTCCCAAGTGCTGGGATTAAAGGTGTGCGCCACCACCGCCCGGCTTACTTCTATCTTTACAAGGAATCTTTTATTTTTATCTTTTGTTTATTTGCTATGCTGGGGAAAGCTTAGGGACTTGCACATGCTAAGAAAATGTTCACCACTCTGAGTTCGAGGCCAGCCTGGTCTACAGGAGCAAGATCCAGGACAGGCACCAAAACTACACAGAGAAACTCGGTCTCGAAAAAAACCAAAAAAGAAAAAAAAAATGTTCACCTCTGAACTATATCTCTAACCTCAAAAGGTATCTTTTTTAAATGTTTCCGTATAAAAACTATGAATGGTTTTTCTTCCTTTCCATAAAATATGCCATGATTTTAAAAATGGAAGCCAGGTATAATGGCACACACCTGTAATCTGAGCACTGGCGAAGAATTGAGCAGGATTACAGATTTAAGGCTGGACTTGAATTACCGAGGCTACATAGTGAGTTCGTATCTGCAGAAAAGTTACCAGGTCTGGCTGTGTAGCTCAGAGGTCTCACACTTGTTTGGCATACCTGAAGTCCTAGGTTAGATTCCCAGTGCTTCTAAAAAGGAGCTGGACTTGATGGTACCTGCAAGTTGAGCACTCAGGAGACTGAGAAAGGAAGATAGCAGTATCCAAATTAGTCTGGGCCTATTAGATTAGCTCAGATTAGCTGAGACCCTATCTCATTAACAAAGCAGAACAAACAGGGCTGTGGCACTGACCCAATGGGTAACAGCACTTCCTGTGCTAACCTGAGAATCTGAGTTCAAATCCCTAGCATCTACGTTTTTTTGGTTATTTTTTTTTTAAAGCTGTGCATGATCACACTTGCTTTTAACTGGAGCAGTATTGGGAGGGGAGAGCTAAGATGTAGTGGAGCTTGCTGGCCGACAGCTAGGCTCCACGTTAATGATAGACCCTGTCTTAAGGGACTGAAGTAGACAGTGGCAGAGCAGGACACTGACTTCCTCCTTTGGCCTCTCTGTACACTTAAAACACACACACACACACACACACACACACTCACACTTAACACTCACACTCATTCTTACAGTCACACACACACCAGACTTACCATGTATAAAACCCTTCATTCTGGTACCTAGAAATCACCAGATGAGCAAAGCTAACACTTTCAAAAGCATATTTTTTCTAGATTTTATATTTCTGTATATTAGAAAAGGAGAATGGCTGGGCAGTTGTGGCGCATGCCTTTAATACCAGCACTTGGGAGGCAGAGGCAGGCAAATCTCTGTGAGTTTGAGGCCAGCCTAATTTACAGAGTGAGTTCCAGGACAGCCAAGACTATACAGAGAAACCCTGTCTCGGGGTGGGGTGGGGTGGGGGGGGGTGGGGAGAAAGGAGAATGAATTTATCAGTACTTGCTATGTCTCAACAGCTATAGGAAGCCTCCAGAGTGAATAGTCTTTAAGGAGTAAGTCTGATGAACTAAAAAATATGAATACTAAAAACAATAAGAGATTTGCATTCTGCTTTTTCACCAAACTTCTTTAGCAGTAGAAGAGAATGACTGAGTAGCATTGTTAATAAAGTACATATAGCCAAAATAACCACTTTTGCTTAGGGCAATCTGGCAAATGAGATATATGATACCAGTTATAATTTATTAAGCTCTGCTGGGCATTGGTGGTGCATACCTTTAATCCCAGCACTCGGGGAGGCAGAGGCAGGTAGATCTCAGAGTTCAAGGCCAACCTGATCTACAGAGTGAGTTCCAAGACAGCCAGGACTACACAGAGAAACCCTGTCTTGAAAAACCAAAAAAAAAGAAAGAAAAAAGAAAAAGAAAAAAGAAAGAAAGAAAAAGAAAAAAGAAAAGGAAAAAAAAGTTGGCAAGTCTTGGTTAAAGTTCTGTCAGGTTTCTGTGACTTTCATGGGTACAGAAGCTGCCCTTTCTACTATTATTGTTGTGTGAATCTTCATGAAACATTTGTAGGTATTACAGTACCTTGCAGGTCTTTTTCCAAGTGCTATAAAACTCCAAGAGGTCGGGAACCAGATCTTGCTACCTACGATACAAAGCTCAGAGTAAGATTTCAGAAACTTCTTTGTTTTTATAGATTATTTTTTATTTGTTGTGTGTGAGTGTTTTGCTTGCCACATAGATATGTGTGTACCAGGTATATGCCCGGTACCCATGGAGTCCAGAAGAGGTCATTGCATCCCCTAGAACCGGAGTTAAAGATAGTTATGAGCCTTGATGTGGGTGCTGAGAACTTGATCTGGGTCATCTGCATGAGCATCTTAACTACTGAGCCATTTCTCCAGCCCCTGCTTTTGGTTATTTGAAGTAGAGTTTCATGTAGCTCATGCTGGCCACATACCCAGGGATAACCTTTGATTCCCAACCCTCCTGTCTCCACATTCCAAGTGTTGGGATTGTAAGCACATGCCACCACACTCAGTCTTACCTAGTATTGGATAGTGGAACTTCATGATGTTAGCCAGACATTTTACCAACTGGGCATTCTATCAAGTAAGTGAAAGAACACATGGGTGAAGCTTGCTTTTAGAAGTACCACTTCATAGTTAAGAGATTTCTTTCATCATTTAAAAAATTCTTTTAGTTAAAATTACAAAATTTACTCTGAGTAAATGTTTTATTTGATTTTTGACACAGGATTTTGCTCTTTAGCCCATGTTGGCTTTGAACTAACTGTATTCCTGCCTCACTTTCCTGAGTTACAGAATTAAGGCATGAACCACCACATCAGTCTGCTCTATTATTATTTTTGTTAAAATTTTATATAATGTATTTTGTTGTGTTTTTCTGTGTAGCCCTGGCTGTCCTGGAACTCACTCTGTAGACCAGGCTGGCCTCCAACTCACAGAGATCCGCCTGCCTCTGCCTCCTAAGTGCTAGGATTAAAGGTGTGCGCCACCACTGCCGAGTTATATAATATATTTGATCAGTGAAAAAATCAATAAGACAAAAAATGCTAAAATAAAACTAAACAAAAAGCATCCACAAAAAACATGGAATTTGTTTTGTGTTGGTCAGCTACTACAGGGCATAGGGCCTGTCCTGTGTGGTTGATCTACCCAGTGATATTCCAGTGGAGAAAATTGATTTTTCCCTTTGCTAGCAGCTATCAGTTTCAAGGAGCTTGTTGGTTAGGGGCAGGACCCTGTGTCCACTTTCACCTTTCAGTGCTGGGATCTTGTCTTGCTTGAGCCTGTGTAGACCTTTTACAGGTCATATGTGTCCTGCCACAATCTCTGTGAGTTCATATGTGCATTGGTCACATTATATCCCCCCCCCCCCAGCTAAGGACCGAACCTAGGGCCTTGTGCTTGCTAGGCAAGCGCCCTACCATTGAGCTAAATCCCCAACCCCATGTTATATCTTAAAGACACTATTTCCTTGGAGTCATCCAGTACCTCTGGCTCTTACAATCTTTCCACTTCCTCCAAATAGATCCTGAGCTCTAAGGGGAGGGGCTGATGAATACATTCCATTTAAGACTGCTCCAAAGTCTCTCACTCTGCACATTGTTTAGTTGTAGGTCTCTGGTAATTCCTATCTACTGTAAGAAGAAGCATCTCTGATGAGGGTTGGTAAGGCTGTTAACTATGGATATAGCAGTGTGTCATCAAGAGTCATTTTATTCCCATGTTCCTTTAGTAGAATAATAATAGGTTTTTCCATAGGCCCATGACACATCTAGTCGCAGGTTCTTGGCCACTTTAACAGTGTCAGGTATGGGTTCTATCTCATGGAGTGGGCCTTAAATAAAAAAACAAAACAAAAAGGCCCCCCTCCCCAACAGTAGTTGGTTATTCCTGCAACATTGTGCCACTATTGCACTAGTGTATTTTGTATGCAGGTTGCTGTTACAGGTTACAGGGCTTGTGGATGTTAGCTTTTAAGCTTTCAATATGTATGCATTTTTGTTTGTTTGTTTGTTTGTTTTTCAAGACGAGGTTTCTCTTTGTAACAGCTCTGACTGTCCTGGAACTCACTCTGTAGGCCAGGCTGATCTCGAACTCAGAGATCCACCTACCTCTGCCTCCCGAGTGCTGGGATTAAAGGTGTGTGCACTACCACCTCCTGGCATTTGCATTATCTTCAGTGTATAATTAAGTATGTTGGGCTGGTGAGATGGCTTAGTAAGTAAGGTGCTTATCCCCAAGCCTGAGAACCTGAGTTTGAGTCCCTGGGACGCACACAGTGGAAGGAGAGAACTGACTCTGCAAATTGTTCTCTGACCTCCACGTGTGTTTGCACATATGCACACATACATACATACACATGCTCTCTCTCTGAATGAATAAATGTAGATAAATATGTTACCTGTATTACTATTGTGACAGACTTTGAGACCCTATTCATCCTGTAGAACTGAAATTGTATACAAATCATTGGCTTTTTAATGCAACTATGTTTTTATTTGTTACAGGTGGTGTTCCGTTCTACGTCGGCTATGGTTTACATATTTATTCAGATGAGCTGTGAAATGTGGGATTTTGATATTTATGGTACTGTCCCCTAAGTACTGATTGTAACTGCCACTGGAGAGAATTTTGTGGTTTTCCCCAAGTTTGTATCATTTTATAGTAAGCGCTTGAGACTCTAAAGATGTGTCCTGCTTTCTTGCCAAGCCTCTTCAGTTCTCTCTCTTTTACTATTATTTTTTCATTCTCCTTTTTGTGACTGTTTGTTTTTGAGATAAGATTTTCATACAGGTGAGGGTGGTCTTGAACTTCCCATTCTCCTACTTCTGTCTCCCAAGTGCTGTGATTAAAGGCATTCATCTCTATGCCCAGTTTACACTGTGCTAGAGATTGAACCCTGGGCTCTGTTCATGCTAAGCAAGCACTGTACCAAACAGAGATACAGGTCAGGGGTGGTGCACACCTTTTATCCCAGCACTCAGGAGGCATGTTGATTTCTGTGAGTTCAAGGCCAGCCTGGTCTACAGAGCATATTCCTCTCAGAGATACATAGTGAGACTCTGTGTATAGCCAAGGGTGATCTTGAACTGATTCTCCTGCCTCTACCTCCCCAGTATTTTTAGACATTTTTCGTTTATTAGTATTTTGTGTGTTCATGCATGCCCACATGCCCATATGAAGGTCAGAGGACAACTTTACAGAGAGTCTGTTTTTTTCTTATTTTTATGGATTCCAGGGTTCAAACTCTGCTGTCAGGCTTGAACAGCAAATGCTTTTACCCATGAGCCACCTTGCTAGTTCCTCTGTTCTATTTATATAGATTGCATAGATACATGGAGAGACAGATGCAGAAGCAGAACATGAATTCCAGGGAATGCAGTAGATTATTAATGAAAAACCTGAATTCTCAGATCTTAAATTCTCTACTTTCTGTCCTTTCACAGGCTCTTGCTCTATAACCCAGATTATTCTCAAATTCATAATCTTCCTGCCCCAGCCTCCTGTGTGCAGGCATGTACTGTTACCCTCAACTTGATGTCTTTCATTTAGTTTCCTGTCAGTCACAGAAAACACAAGTTTGCTTCAACTTTATTGTATTTTATTATGATATAATGAGCAGAGGGCCTACTAAATCAGTTTTTTGAACTTCCATTGCTTAGTGAGAGAGAGAGTGAGTGTATGCATGTGCGTTCGTACAACTCAGGCGTCAGTTTTCTCCTCCTGTGGTGGTTTCGGGGAATCAAACACAGGTCACTAGGCTTGTCAGCAAGCACCCTTACCCACTGAGCCATCCCCTCCCCCATTGTCTCCTAATACACTTTAAGCATGACTATAAAAATAATCATATTTGGAGTTTAGGTTCTTCTCTCATGTTGAATAGATACCACATTAACCAGTCATCTACCTTTTTAAAAATTTGGGTTTTACCTTAAAGCTGAGACTTTGTAATTATGAGATTGGACTGTACTTTCTGTGCTAAGGAAGCACTGAACCTCCATAATTAAATTTGACTTGATACAGTTGAGGATGTAGCCCCGTGGTGGAGTTTTATCTAGTTTGTCTAGGGTATGCAAGTAGCCTCTCATTTTTTTTTCACTTTGTACTTTCTTTTCTTCCTTCCTTCCTTTTCCTCTCTCCCTTCCTTCCCTCCCTCTCTCTCTCTTTCTTTTCTTTTCTTTCTTTCAAGACAGGGTCTCAATATGTAGTCCTGGGGCTGAAATTTGCTTTGTAGACCAGATTGGATTTGAACTCATAGAGATCCACCTGCCTCTGCCTCTAGTGCTAAAACTAAAGGTGTGCGCCACCACCTCTAGTGACTTTGTACTCTATGTTCACTGTCTCTTACAAAAATTATAGCAGATGCCATTGTTTTCTATTTGGTCCAGTTCCTTGAATGTATTTAGAAGAGACATTTCGAGCAAAAAAAGAAAAGAAAGAAGGTGGTTCTTACTCTCTTCTCACCGTTTCTTTTCAGGGGATCTGTACTTTGAGAAAGCTGTGAATGGTTTCCTTGCTGATCTGTTTACTAAGTGGAAGGTATGTCTCTATATTCTAATCTTCTAAGTAAATATCACTCAGTAGATTTTTTTAATTTTTCAGGGTGTTTTGTTTTATTTTATTTCTCCAGACAGGATTTCTCTGTGTCACCCTGGCTGTTCTGGAACTCACTTTGTAGATGAGGCTGGCCTCAAACTCACAGAGATCCACCTGCCTCTGCCTCCTGAGTGCTAGGATTAAAGGCGTGTGCCACCACTGCCCAGCATTTTGGGATCTTCTTAAGAATGCTAGGTTGGCTGACCAGGGAGCTCCTGTCTCAGCTGCCCCAGCATTGGGGTTACAAACATGTGCTGTTATACCTGTTGTTTTGTTGTTGTTGTTGTTTGTTTGTTTGTTTGTTTGTTTTTTCCTTAGAAAGGGCCTTATTATGTAGCTCTGGCTAGCCTGAAATCCACTATGTAGACCAGGCTGGTTTTGAATCACAGAGATCTGCCTTCTACCTACTGAGTGCTGGGATTAAATTCGTGTGCCACTGTGACCTTTTAATGTAGATTGAATTCAGGTCCTCATGCTTATGTGGCAAGCACTTTACAAATTGAGTTTCCTCCTAGCCCCTGAATGTGGATTTCTAAATGTGGTTTTTCTATTAATTTGCCTTCTCTTGAGCTACTTTAGCTGAAATGTGGACTTGAGATTTAAATTATGTTAATCACCTCAACATGATGAACAGCATTCATGAAAACACAGGGCTAGCTTCACAGATCATACTCAGTGGGGAAAGACTGAAAACTCTCCTAAGATCAGCACTAGGAATGCTTCCTTTGCCGCTGTAGACACCCACACATAAATAAAAGTAAAAAAAAATTAAGAAAAAAGAAAATTGTAGAAGGCTAGAGACATGGCTTAGTGGTTAAAAGTACTGACTGCTCTTCCAGAAGCCTTGGATTTGGGTCGCAGCACCTACGGGGGCTTACAACTGTCTGTAATTTCAGTCCCGGGGAAGCTGGGTTGGGGACATGTGAAATCCAGTAACTAGTCTGTAGACTGCTTTTCTCCACCAGTGTTCTTTCTGTATTTTGACTTGTACTCAGAAATTTCTTTCTTTCTTTCTTCCTTTCTTCCTTTCTTCCTTTCTTCCTTTCTTCCTTTCTTCCTTTCTTCCTTTCTTCCTTTCTTCCTTTCTTCCTTTC